TAATTTGATGAAGGTCAATTTTTTTGACAAGATAACTGCAGTTTCTATGGTCGTCTATTGGCTGTGAACTATGTGCATGCACAATCAAAGTAAGGGTTCGTGACGGGTCATGCATGCCTAGGGCAAAATCTTGTGTCAAACGCGTAATAGAGTGTTTGTAAGTTGACGTTTCTCTATCCGCATTCAAGTGCATGTTAAATTTGAGGAGACTCCCACGCATATATATGTCAGTTGTAACAATAGACATAGGGTTAACATTATGAAGGTTGATAGAGAACAATTAATTATTCTTGGAAAATACGTAGCATTAAGTGATACTGTTTGAACCCAAAATTACACTATCGGTCTGAGTAATCGAGGCCGTTGGATAAGCAAAATTTTAAACCGTTGCATGACAAAATTGTTGAAATGATTTTCAATTATTATTGAGAAATAATGTTATGATTTTAATCATGATATTATCTTTTAGTAATATTTGTCTAAATCTCTATTGATTTGACCATTTGGGATATTGGGATACACACGTCAGTTGCATATTCGAATGGAGTTGCATGCAGAACCAAGTGGAATAATGGGATAAAGGAAGTCATGGTCTTGGATAATGATGACACAAGGAACCTAAGTAGGCTAGGCATTTTTTCTATGGTATTTTGATGATCAGAAAAAGCATGGCTACTGATGGGTTTTTGATGAAGAGGAGTCTAGGTGTGCTAGAAATATGATGTGATAAGTCTAGATGGACTTTTATTAGGTTTGAAAAGTCTTGGAACAAATCCCATGGCTCAGTTTGAGGGATATACCTTGGTTTCTGATGTGGATCAATTTCAATTCCACGAATTAGAGTTGCAGTGGAACTCTGCAAAATTATCTGCCCATGCCAAGCAAAAGATACATCCCTATAAATACAAATACAGAGGCGTTGTGCAACGGAAGAAGACCTCCAATTCAACACACAAACTGTCATGCACAAACCTTTTCCTTTTTCGCCAACACATCTTCAGTTTGGATAAACAACACTGTGAAGGCAACCGGCGAACATCTTCAGTTTGGATAAACAACATTGTTGCTGTAGAATCAGCCGACCGTGAAGCACCTTCAGTTTGGATAAACAGCACTGTGACAGGGCTGACTGGTTATCTATCCAAGTCTCGGTCGAGAAGGATTTTCGGATCCTTATTGGCAGAGGTCATCTCATTAACCTTTTCGACGAAGTGAGGTGTTACAAGTTACTACATTCAACACATTGAAAGTCGAATTTGATATTGAACTTCACAGAACTAGCAGCCTTGTCTTCAGGCTCTAGAACCCAAAGCCCAAGACGTGTTCCTTCCTCGGCCTCAATCGCAAAATTCAGAAGTCAGCAGCGCACCCAACGCAACATCAACAAATTTTACTCACTGGAGGAGCTTGGCCCTCGAGTTGGCACGCCTTGCACATAACCAATGGACGTAGTTAGCTTATTAATTATTTGGCATGCACGCTACGTAGGCTTGATAGTTTTTGGAGTCAACAAATACAAATAATAAATGGTTGAGATTGAAAATAAAATATTTAATAGTTGTGTAAATCAAATTTAACGGGTAAGACACTAGTAACACTAAGTGCTACGTACTATTAAAGCTACACTATTTTTTTTTTTTTTTAAGATGACAGTTAGTGATTTTGCCACAACTGTTCGTTCTTCTTTAAAGGCAAAAAAGATTCGTAGAGGCATTTCCACGTCCTCGGCTTTCGTCATAATCGTATAATTCACCAACACTAGGGATCATCTCTGGATCCCTTCCTCCTAATCCATTAAGTTCAGGGATCCGAACTGTTAAAATTTGATCCAACGGCTAAAGTTATTATAATTTTTAAAATGGATACCTGTTTGTAACTTTTGAATCAAAATTCAGCGGCCAAAACTCCCGAATTTGGAGGATTAGGAGAAAGGAATCCGGATCCCTTTCCGCCAAGCTCCTAACATTTTAATTCAAAAAGGCATGCGTGATGATTGGGTACGTTATCTATTGCCTTGTATTCATGTTGTTCAACATAAATACTCGATAGCTGCATCCACATACTACTTATAGTGATGATTTGGTTCCTTTTTCTGGTAAAAGTAGTCTCTCACAACCACGCTTTTTCTACATTTCCCCGATTGCATTAAACCGACATCAAAATCTAAAACGGTGTTTTTTCTTTTCATTAAAAACACCAAAAAAGCAGAGACTCGATTTTCCGCTTTACTCCTATCATTATATACAGGGAAGTTTAACTAAAAACATCCGGTACTGTTCACTTTAACGAAAAATCACATTTTTACACTAAAAAGTAAATCATGGTACTATTCACTTTACCCTTTATTTTGTCCTTATCATTAAAACTCAAAATTTTCAAGCCATTTTCATTAGTTTTCCTTTATATATATGGGTCTCAGTCACTAGTTTCACCACGTATAGCTCAAACTCCATTATATGTTTTCAAGGCACTCGTTGTCGATGGGTCGAGCTCTCAAGAGCCGGTTGGGCGGCATATTCTTAAACATATGCAATCAAACAGTCATAACTCTTCGTATTGATATTTAAAATTTAAAATTAATAAAAGTGATCTTGAGTTTGTCCAACATCAATTATTTTGGTCATTCCGTGAAATTATATGTTAAATAAGAATCAAAATGACAAAAATACCCTCAATTTAATAAACAAAGGTCCAAAATGATTTGACAAAATTGAGGATATTTTATCATTTTATCCTTACTTAATGGAGATTTTTCACAAGAGGACTAAAATGAGTGATGGTGAACAAACTTAGGGACCACTTCTATTAATTTCCAACCTCAGGGACCAAAGTGAAGATTTATATTAATATCAATGACCATTTTAGGTAAAAAAAAACCTATATTTTATAATGTAATTACAAAATATGGTACATCTCCTGTCATAATATAAAGACAGAGACTTCGAAAACTATATTATCATTCGATTTATATTTGAAACTTGGTGTACCACCTTATAATACGTGGACAAAATGTGTTAACAACTTTTGCATTTTGATCTTCTCATTTTATCAAATGCTATTTTTATTTTTTAAACATAAAAACGAGACATTTTAATATTTTTGACTTGAGATTGAAGATGAAAAGCAAGAAGTCTAATTTAAAAAGCATTAAATGTATTTTTTTGATAAAAAAATAACACGTTCCATTTGATAAAAGAAAAAAAGATCCAAATACAGAAACTAGTGTTAATGTTGCTCACATTTCTTCCTATGACACTGAATATTTTCATAAGCTCAATTATGTAAAAGAGGATCTGGTGTTAAACTCTTAGTAATGGGGCAACAATTTCACTCTCATTTTTTCTTTCTGCCTTCCTCGTTTTATTCTCGCTCATTGATTTTATTTGATTTATTCAATCATACTGCTACAAAGAAGTGCATCAAAAATTAAAAATGCAAAAATCATTTCACTAAGTAATAAGTCCCACACAGCCACACAAGTAATTATATATCGAAGTTTTAACAGAATGAACAAATAATAGGATGAATGCTCACATGGTACATGGTAGAGTTGCAGAATATAAATATATAGGATGAATGAACGCAGCAACTCGAGATATTTTTCAGTGTGATCGGTATACGGGATGGTACATCACGTGTCACTATACAAATAGTGATATATGTGTGCCAAAAAGTTAATAACTTAAAAAATAAAATTTACCACTACTTCTATTAAAACACATGTTGTACCACTTTACTTCTATCCGAACTAAAAATTTATCCAGCTCAGCATCAAACATTAATAATTGATCTCTTCTTATTTCAATATATTTTGGTGGAAATTTGGAAATGTAAATTCCAAAATGACAGTCGCAGTCGCGGACCAATGATGGCTTCCAGACAGACCTTTGCCGTTTGCCAAAAGCCACAGTTTAAAGATAAAATTAAAATAATATATAATGATAAACGCAATCTGATCCTGACCTCCAATTATCAAACATTTTCATAATTAAAGTGCAATGAGATTATTTTTCGAGTGCCTAAGTGCCAAGTATGTTTGAATCCGGACCCTCTCTGTGAGAGGATTTCGGAGATTCGTGAATTGTGTTTGTTTATTGTATATTGTACGACAAAAATCGTTTTAATTTTTTTATTTAAAATTGAATATTGATAATACCTGACGAAAATTGGTCGTACGATGTACGATGAAAGAACAAAATTTACAAAACCTCAAATTCTCACAAAGAGAATCCTAAAAAGATCCTGTAGAAGTATTTTTACCTTCCTATCTCGTAACTTAAATAAAATGAATTTATCGTTATTGTAAAATTCTATTTAATATGTAAGACATTATTATGCTGAGAGAGCCGTCATGTTAGGTGAAATGTTTTCATGAAAATCCGTTTCCTACATAGCTCCCATTGATTCAGCAGCGACGCTAGTGGTCTTGTTTATAAATACATTATTATTAGTACTAATGCATGCCAATTATTTTGTGTCTTTCTCGATGGACATGCATAGATAGATGAAAGATTTTATCATAAAAAATCTCGGTGCGACTATTACATGTTATATTTTGTCTATCTTTCCGACGCATAGTTCTTGCATTCTTTCAATAAAAACATGTGTTAAGATTCAAATTAATCTGGAGTCGATTTGCTACTCTTTCCCAGCTATGTAACCAATGAGAAATGGTGAAAAAAAATGAGTTGTTTGGGTTCGAATCCTTCCAATGTAACCGACATACCCGTAGCATAACGGGCCATGGTACTGTAATCCTACGGTGTAAATACAAGCCATGCCCAAACTTTTTCAACCCAATCTGGTCGTCGCATGTTCTTCTTCTTGTCCACTTTTCGATGGCAATGAAGGATGTAGCGCAGAAACTCACTTTATCAACCGTGGCATTGCATTATTCAATCAGAACGCCAAAGTGACAGTGAACTCATTCCATGTAAATTGCTATCATTTGGCTGAGCCAACGAGTTGGAATTATTGAGAAACAAGAGCTACTCTACAGCTGGTAAAAACGAGCAATCTACTAACATCACAATCAAAACGCAAACGTATTTACTGGAAACAAAACATGTTAAAGTTCCGAATACCGTGGCCAAGAAACCAAACAAGACAGACAAGTAGATATGCCACTTCGTCTGGTTTATTAGGCAGAGTGATATCGAAAAAATGAGGAAGGTAAACGACTTCAATACAAAATAGCAATACAAAACTGAAGTGCTATAAAATAGCATAACATATCACAAAACTCATGGTTAAAAAAAGAGAAACAAAACCATTCCCATGATCTGATAGTTTCCTCTAGCCGGTTTAAAAAATGGCGCAGCTACAGCATATGCTCGTAAGAACTTTATGCCAATGATGCAATAAAAGTTAGCTTAACTTCAAATCCGAGTCTTTGATAGCCTTGTAATCTCTCGCATTGCAACTATTAGCGACGTAGCCAGGTCTCCCCGTTGTTAGCAATTGTGAAAATCGATTTCAATCTGCAGTCACCAATCAATGATGAATAAATCAATAACACAAGGGTAAGAGATATTGGACGTTATTATGACCAAAAGTCAGACCGCATCATACAACAGGCAATACATGTGAAATATCAATTAGTGACCTCAACAAGTAAACACATTCGCCACAGAACCCACGAGTTCGATTCAAGATCAGTAACGAGAAGAGTTCAGAGTGATTCGGGAAATACACGAGTATCCTAACAAAAAGATCAATTCTAACATTGTCCAACTTGAGTCTCTACTACAATAAAAACTCCTCTAACATAACACAAGAATGAGTCGAGACTGAATAAACAAAGTGCGGTTCTCATACTGTTTGGGCCCAATACGAGGCGCTGGTCATTGGTTTGGGCCTCCTTCTTGACTTACACGCCACTCGTGTCCTCGTCCTCGGGGATTCTGAATTAGTGATTAACCAAATTAATGGGTCTTTCGCTGCATGAGTTGTACTCTGGCGCCTTACCACATGGTCGCCAGCTATTTGGCCGAGTCTTTTGACGGTGTTACATTCGAGCATGTTTCTCGGGTTCATAATACCGACGCAGACGAGTTGGCTCAAATCGCCTCCGGTGCACAACTCCTGGGGGGCAAGCTAGGCCGGGAGATACCAATATTACGACAATTATACCCGGCCTTGGTTGATCAACAAATCCTCCGTCGAGACAATGTGATACGCACCAGGGTCATGTCCCTGCCTTCGTTGTTAGATCGACAGGACTCTATAGAAATTTGCGCGGCCGAGGCAGTACCAGATGATTGGAGAAAGCCCATTATGCAGTACCTTGACAATCCTATCGGAAAACATAGTCGCAGGACACGGGTTCACGCCACGAATTATGTCACGTACCAGAACGAGTTGTACCGAAAGGGCGAAGATGGTTTGTTATTGCTATGCCTCGGCCCCCAAGAGAGTGCTCGAGCGATCGCAGAGGTTCATGAAGGGGTATGCGGAGCTCACCAGTCTGGACGAAAAAATGCGATGGCTACTCCGACGACACGGTTATTTTTGGCCGAGAATACTGAAAGATTGTATCGAGTTTGCACGAGGATGCGTGCAGTGCCAAATCCACGGGCCTATACAAAGGGTCCCGGCCGAATCACTACATTCGGTCATTAAGCCGTGGCCGTTTAGAGGATGGGCCATGGATGTAATCGGCAAAATCATGCCGACTTCCGGAGCTGCTAAGCATGCATGGATAATGGTCGCAACTGATTACTTCACTAAGTGGGTCGAAGCAAAATCATATGCCGAGTTAACATCTAAAGAAGTTTGCGATTTCGTGGAGGAACACATTGTGACCCGATTCGGTGTTCCAGAAACGATCATAACTGACAATGGAACAATCTTCACAGCCGAAAGGTTCAAAGAATACACGGCCAATTTAAAAATTCGGCTGGAACAGTCCACACCGTATTATCCACAGGCGAATGGGCAGGCCGAGGCAAGTAATAAAGTGTTGAACGGCATCCTCAAAAAAATAATAAAAGAAAGGCCTGGCATGTGGCATTTGAAGTTAAACGAGGCATTATGGGCATACCGAACGTCGCCCCGATCGGCGACTGCAACAACCCCATACGCATTAACCTACGGACACGATGCGGTGCTACCAGTCGAGTTGAGCATAAATTCATTGCGATTAATTGAACAAAGTAGTTTGTTTAGCGCCGAATATAATCAGTCCATGAGACAGGAACTGGAAGATTTGGAAGAGGCACGACTTGATGCTTATAACTTACTGGTGGTACAAAAACAGATTGCCGAGCGAGCCTATAATCAGAAGGTGCGACAGAAAACGTTCGGCGAGGGTGAATTGGTGTGGCAAACGGTGTTGCCCATAGGATTAAAAGATCCTAGGTTCGGCAAGTGGTCGCCGAATTGGGAAGGGCCGTTCATTGTGCATAAAGTATACGGCAAATGGGCGTATCATCTTAAAGACCGGACTGGAGTAGTTCACAAATTACCAATTAATGGGAAGTTCTTGAAGAAATACTATCCGGTCACATGGGAAATGCGTGAATAAAAAAATTGTTGTACCAGTACAAAAAAAAAATCATTCCATTAAGATTGATAGGTATTACAAAAATGATTAGGTCAAATACATTCAAGGAGACGAGGGAAGAAGAGTGCTGAGCAGAGCCTTCAATTCCAACCACCGCACGTCGGTCATGATGACTTCGGCTTGCCCATTCTTTTTGTCCAGCTTCAGCCGCTCGACCCGTTTTTTAGCCGCCGCATACTCAGTTAGGCGATCCTTCCCACCTGACTCGAAGTCTCTCGCAAGCTCAGAAGCAATGGCCGACCGGCGTTTTGCTAGTTCGGCCATTTGACGGTCGAGCTCGGCTAACGCTTCTCCTTTTGCCCGTAGATCGTCAATCTTCGGACGGAGGGTGTCTTGAACGGCCGTGGCGGCTTACAGGTCTTGTTCGGCCTTCAGCGCAGTCTGGAAGATACTAAATGTCTCCCGAACGCGCTCCAAGGCAGACGATGCCCGAACAATGGCATCTCCGCTCAGGCGACCGTCGGCTCCAAGGTCGTTCAGACACACGCCGAGCAGATCAAGATCGTTGCGTTCAAGTACTTACGAAGATGAGAGCGACAGGACTTCCCGCAACTGGGTTAAGGCGCTTGGATCGGCAGCCTCAGTCGGAGCCGCCGAAGGGCCGGACTCTGCAGTCGTGCTGGAAAGGAGGGCTTTGAATTCAACCTCCCATGAAGCCTGCACGAATAGACAAGGTTAAGCTTAGAGGAAGTCATGACAAGAATAGCAAGGTGTCATTTTTTTAACCTGCCGAGAGGAGACCTCGGCCATGTCCCCAGGATCGTTGCTCGAACCTAAAGAACTCAATGGCCGAGCCCAGTGTCTCAGATTGCTTCTCACTTCACGCGGCCTATGGAAGTTATCTACGTTTGATGGCCACTGAGGCGGCCAGGAAATATAGATAACGCCCTTCGGCGCATAGAATTGACGGTGAAAAGAATGTACAGGCACCTAACATTTAATATTTTCCTTGTTTAGAATTCTAAAGCAGAAAAGCAATCAGGAGGAGACAATTGAAGGTACTTACAAAAGCCGAGGTAACCTCTTGTGGAGGAATGTGGAAGCCTTGGTCTTGAGGATGGACCGGCGATTCCGCCGTGGCCTCGGGTTCCTCGAGCAGCCGTTTGCCACGGTCGGCTGCCGATGGGCCGACTGGCGCAGCTGCTTCAGGGGAGGCAGGGACGTCCTGGTCCTGAGAAGGAACGAGAGGTTCGGCCACCGGGGTCGGTTCCTCGACCGTGCGCTTGCCACGATTAGCCGAGGAGGGGCCGGTTTGAACCGCCATCTCGGATACTGGAGGAGGTTGTCGACGAGCATGAGGACGATGCGCCAGCGGGACCTCGTCGCTCCCCTCACTCTCTTCCAACACGAGGACCGAGGGCGTTGGATTCTTGGGAGAGGTTCCCTCGGTTGTAGAAACCGCCTGTTGTGAGACAGGTGCCTTCTCGATAGAGGGAGGGACAATTGATGCGCCGGCCACAGAGGCAGGCCGTCTCTGCGGCCAAAGCCGGCTGTTTCTCGACCCCAGAATGACCGGCGACGGGAGAAGGGGAAGCACTGGGAGTCGTCGTGTGACTGGAGATAACGTGGATCTCCCGTGCACCTTTCTTCGCCATTTGTTTAACCCGCTTAGCAGGCGGGGAAGGCTCGACAGCCGGCTCGGCCTCTTGGCGAGGCCGTTTGATCAGCACGGCCCTACCAGCGGGTTTGTCCTTTTGGGCCACGACCGATTTTTTCCCGGCTGTGGCAGCGGCAACTGCCTCCGTCTTTCTCAAAGGCCGACTACCTAAAAAGATAAAGACAATTCAGTAAGGCAAATCAATATGCAAGGTTGATGGAAAGGAGGAAAGTGGAACAAGTACCTTGAGGATGAGGGGCTGAGGCCTTCTTAGGCCGGTCACCGAAGAGTCTGCTAAGCACCTCTCCGACCGGCGCACCAAAGAATTCCTGGGTGTATTTCTCCCACCACTCGCCAAAGGTGTCGGTGCAATGGGTTTCCGGGGTGGCTGGTCGAAGGCGGAATTTTTGGCAGCGCTCTTGGAACTCCCTCACGACGGTTCTACACTCCTTCTCAGAGGAACGAGGTTCGCGTCCACGGCTTAGGACCGTTCGGGAGGAGAGAAAGGGAATAGGGCAGCCATGAAGGTAGCCGAGCTGTCGGGCAAGGAAGTTCGGATGATATACTTCCCAACCTGACCGTTTCCCATCACAGCCGAGAGGGAGGTCGCGAGCAAGCACAAACGACCCTCAGGTCTGACGAAGATCGGCGTCTTCCTCCGCGCTCCATGGGGAGGTAGGCAGCCTGATGGAGGAAGGGTAGTCTCGACGACGACATATTAGGAACTCGTCGTTGGAGAAGTCGTCGAGAGCGAAGAGGTACCGAAATACCTCTTCGGCTTGATGGGGAGGTGTCGGTCGAGAGGCCAGTTGAGGCCCAAGCGCCTCTGTTGGTGAGAATTCAGCTATGGCCGGCCGAAGGGAGGCGAAGTATACCTGCAACCAGAGTTGGAAGATCCAGAGAGGACCATTCTGGTGCGGGTCAACCTTGTGGAGGGTCGCCTCGGCCAGGCAGCGGAAGAGTTGGGCGAGAATGTTGGAACTCAGTGCCAATACGTGACCACTAGCCAGGGCTTCGGCTACCGGCATGTTCTCGACCAAACACTTGTTTGACTTGGTACAACAAATGTATTTGTTGTACCAGTAGAAGAGGAAGGCTTCATGCTCTCCCTCTCGCATGTCCTCTTCTCCTCGGCCGGCGAAATGGAGATAGAGGGTGTTGTAATTACAGAAGTTCTTGTGGAGCTTCTGAATGTCTTCCTTCGACGGGATATGACCGTCACGGTTCAAGGTCTCGGAGGCCCGACGATCGAAGAGCGTTTTCTGGTTGATATTCGACGGATGCCCAGAGAGGGTCGCGTCGACAGGGATCCCGGTCGCCGAAGTCCCCAGAATGGCAGTGATATCCAGGATGGTGGGACCAATGGGACCCAGAGGAAGGACCATTGTGTTGGTGGCCGAGCACCAGAAGCACAGAGCGGCTTGGAGAAGCTCCTTGTCGGGAACGATTTCCATAGACGAAAGGAGGATGGCGTCGTAGATGCCAAGAGCCTTCCATTGCTCGCCGAAGAGTCGTTCCATTCGAACGACCCAGGCTGCCCAGGATGTGGTCGTCGAGGGCCAGGAGCCCTGGGGCTTAGCCGCATCCCATCGCGACCATTCAAACCCTTGAAGTAAGGGTGTTAGGCAGTGCTCCTGTAGAAGGCCGATGATAGTCGGCGGTATTGTAGCCTTGAAGAGAGGGCCCAGGATTTGGTACTGGGTGCTCATGTCGTTTTCAAACCGGATGGTCTTGATCGAGCTCCGATCAAAAATCTTCTGATGTTGGTCACACTCCCTGGAAAGCTTGGAAATGAAGGACGCCATTGTGAGAAAGAAGCACGGAGTAGAAGGGTTGTCTGGGTTGGGGATTTAAAGACGAAGACTTGGAATAGGAGAAATGTACTAGAAATCAATGGCAGAGGATTTCAGGAAGTTTGAGAGCGTAAAGGTACAAATGAGGGAATTTCGGTATTTATAGAGTTATAGGGGGAAGAGCAATCGTTCGAAATTCAAAACAAAGGACAAAATCGACCGAAGGAATTATCGATCATGACGAACATTTGGGAAATGCGGTTGAGAAGACCGAAGGTCAGGGTTTTGGGGACGCAGGATTGCGTGTGACGGCGAAATTAATGACGAAAGACGGTTCGACGCCCGCACGATGACAAGTGGGCTCACGGACTGAGGAAGTGGCTCGCGGATTGAGATAGTGGTCATGATGGCAAGACGGTTCAGGCTGCTGCACGCCTTAGACGTCATTATGGGGGATTGGCCATGTTAGAGGACGCCACGTGGCGAGTGGGTTAGCAGGATCAAGATCGTGCGATCGTGCTCAATAAATGCGCCTTGGAACTCGGGTATTAGGATCCTGAGTGGTAGATTCGCTTCTTCAAGGCCGAAACTCGGCCGAAGGTTTCAAGCCGAGGACCTCAGAAGCGAGGGGGCAATGTTTGGGCCCAAAATAATAGTTTGGGCCGAGGGTAGGATCACTCTCGGCCCAGGAGGCCGGGCGGTAAAAGGACCATGGATCGGTCAACCCGTGGGAGTCCAAACCTAGGGCGGTTAAGACGAATCCTCGTGCAATAGGGAGTCTCGACGGGATCGGATCTCCAGGAAATTAATCCAGCTTAGCTAAGGACTAGGTTCATAGTCCTAATAGGTGTAGGACTGGTCGAGGTGATCCGGAGAGGGAAACCTAGTCCGAGTAGGAGGTAAACTCGGACTCAAGGTTCAGTACTATAAATAGGGGACGCTGTGCATCAGGAAAGAGCCCTACAAAATCAATACAAAATTGCCCTGCGCAAACTCTCACAACTTGTGATTTTTCTTTTTCTTTTTCGCTGACACATCTTCCGTTGGCATCAACAGCACTGTGAAAGCAACCGGTGATATCTTAAGTCGGCATAGATAGCTCTGTCACCGTAGAATCAGCCGATCTCGCAGCATCTTCCGTTGGCATCAACAGCACTACGGCGAGGACGACTGGTTACCTATCCAAGTCTCGGTCGAAAAGGATTTCCGAATCCTTATTGGTCGAGGTCATCTCATCAGCCTTCTCGGCGAAATGAGGTGTTACCAGGTTATTGTATTCGGCACGTTGGAAGCCGAATTCGGTTCGTGAACTTCGCATTTTAGCAGCCTTGTCTTCAGGCTCTAGAACCCAAGAGGCCGAGAATTGTTCCTTCCTCGGCCGCAATCGCAAGACACAGAAGTCATCAGCGCGCTCAACGCAACATCAACAAATTTACTCCTCGGTCGAGCTCGGCCGACGAGTTGGCACGCCCCGCAATCACCGAAGGACGTAGTTAGCTTAGAAAATACTCGGCATGCGCGCCACGTAGGCTCTGTAGTTTCTAGGGTCAACACATACGTTGATCGATCCCCTCTCTCTCAGTTCAATCCAAGAATCCATGATAGAAAAACAATGGAATCTAAATCTGAAGAAGAAAGGACTAGAGTTACTTGCCAAAGAATTTTTCCTGCAAACTTGCACCGTCTAGTCTAGGTTTAAGTTTAATGACTAAAGGAAACCATTACGTTAATCATCAGGTACCTTTAACAAATGTTAAAATGTATACATGATTCAATGAGATTATTAAAATGCTTAAGCCCATAATTATTCAAAGTAACTAAAACGATAAGGAACACAAATGAGACACTACAGTAGACAATGCAGATAGAAAATACCCTTCAAGCGTCAAGCGGCTTATCCTCAACATCATTCGCAGCAACATTCGGCTCAGCACCTTGCCCTTCCTCCGTGGGTGGCTGAACTTGCTCATCCTCGGGCAGTGGTTCCTCCACATAATCATTCTCAAAAGCATCTGGAGGCACCTCATAGATTCTAACTTGGGGCTTCGACGGGTCCTTAACAAGCACATACTTGCCCTCACTTAATTTCATACACAAGTCCACAATCGACTTCACAATCCCCCACATACTGTTTTGGTTGAGATTAATCTGCGAGGCAAACTCCTTGGGCTTGTATCCTACCACAGCCAAAATCACATGGTTAAAGTGATCACGAGGATGAACCCTCGAAACGTAACCCAACTTCATCAAATCGGCACTGGCCAAGAGGGCTTGGGCAGTCCATTTAGCCAACTTGTTGGCATTGTTCTTAAGCTCAGTTGCCAATACAGCACCCCTCTGAGTCTCCAATTTCTGCCTCCAATCGACACCCGAATACTTGGGATCAAACTCATTAAGCGCATTCAGGGTCAAAAACGACCTCTGATTATTCACCTCCATAACACTTTGCACCTCACACCTCGCAACCAGATACATTCCCTCCTCAAGCTTCCACCTTCGGTAGCGATAAGCAACGGAAGCAACCTCCTCTCCTTCGTTTGCAAACGGGTTAGGCTCATCGAATGTGACCTTATTCCCATCCCTAACCAAAACCTGCTGTGAAAAGTTCTGATTGATATAAGCAGCCTCGACACTCAACGAATAAGCTGAATTGATATCATCCTTAGCTTCAGGCAATGGCTCCTGAGATGTCTCGTGAACCGAAAGCAAATCCAATTGCGACCCATCACGTTTATCAAAGAACAATTTGTTCCCAACTTTCTGAACAACAATATCCCAAGAGTAAACTGACCGGGGTGCGCACATAAGAGTCGAGAGAATGGTGTCAGTGGCAAAGACTGTGGCTTTATCCTCGTTTGCGAGGCGGCGGATGACGGGGTCGTCAGTGGTGGTGACCTTGAAGAAGTTCCTGTTCTTGAACCGCTCGAGCCGCCTCTCGTTCTTGGGGGTGATTCGATCGACGGAGCGATCGTAGAACTCGAGTCCGCCGCAGAAGAGGAGATCCTCCGGCTCCGGAACCGAAAACGAGAGCTTCGAGAATGTGGAGAAGGGGATCTGTTCGAGCATGTTCCACTCAGGTTGGATATCGACGGAAGATTTGAAAACCGCAGCTTCTCGGCGCGGGGCATTGACGTTGGACCGGTTCATGTTGTACTGGCGGTCACGGCGGGCTCGCTCCTTCTCGGCCTCGCGCTTCTTGGCCTCGACCTCCTCGTCGCGGCGGTGGGGGAGCTGTCGCTGCTGCTGGAACCGCCACTTGGGGCCGAATCTGGGCCGCGGCGGGGGCTTTCCATCGACGAGACGGAACGACGCGTCGTCATCGGCGGAGCCGGGGAACGACTCACCGTTGGAGAAGTCGAAGACGGCGTCGGATGGGTTCTTGGAGCGGGCAGGATTGTTGAAGGTGCGGGTCCAGTCGGCGATCCGGCCGAGCTTCTCGGAGCGGGAGAAGGGAGCGAAGGGCACGTTTTGGGGCAAATTGGAGGTGGTGGTTGGGGTGGTTGCGCTGTCCGGTGGGCCCCACCCGTCGGGGTTGAAGGGGACGCCGCCGACTTCGAAACCTTCGACCATAATTGCTGAATTTGTGAGATTCAGAGGAAGACAGTGGAAGTCGGAAGCTTTACTCCCGGTTGGGTTTGCGCTTAAAACCCTAGTGTGCGTACGGTTATCATGCCATGTGAATTTACCGTTCTGCCCCTGGCCGTTATGAATTGTTGGTGATTCTGGGTCTTGAATATCGACTAAGGTACGGGGGGTTCTCCTAGTCCAATTATATTTTATTAGGCCTCTCAAAGTTTTCGAAAATTAAGGGCACGTTTGGAAGTGGTTAGGGTTTTCTCCCAAATCTAGAAGTACCATTTTTATCTTTTTTTTTCTAAACAAACGATATTATTCATTATGGAAAAGGGATAAGTTAAGTCTCACAATGAACTAGTAATAATGTGGTTCAAATTCATCTTTCATGATAATCGAATCTAAGACCTCTCACTTACAAATGAAGAGGAATATCATTAAATCGAAATACTAAGTGACACCTCGAAGTACTTTTAAAATGATGGAAATCGTTTTTGTTGAAGATATTTTTAGAACCAATCCTTAGTAAAATGCAAGTGAATCCTGATAAAGCACTTCAAATACTTTTCGAAATCAAAAATATTTTATCTAAAACGCTTTTAGCCATTTTAAAAATACTTTCAAACGAACTCTAAGTAATTACACAAAGTCTGATGCCAAAAACTAAAATAGTAAAAAAACAGTAGTTGAGAAAACTCTCGTGGTTTAATTGGCATCAAGTAAAGTACGAAAATAAAAATTAAACTAACAATTAAAATTATACTGGAAAATCTAATTAACAATTAAAATTCTGTTAGAAATTGAAATTTAACAAACAATTAAACGAATGTAAAATCCTAAACAACTAGGTAGATGTTGGTTACTAGACCAGTTGCCGAAGTTGGTGTTCCCACTTATTAACACGAGCTTCAATCATCTGCCATGTACATTTTCTCACAATACATTAGATGGTTGAGTGTTAATTTCATTAATTTTGTAGTTTCTTTCTCATTCTGAATCACATTAATCAACTTTTTAATTGCGATATTGTAAACATAGTCATCAATCTGAAGAGTAATTTTGGTGAGACGATGGGCAACTCCATTAGCTTGTAGATATAAACATAGTCATCAACCTGAAGAGAAATTTTGGCGAGACGATGGGCAACTCTATTGGCTTGGCGGCGAATGTGGCAAAGTGCGACTCCAGTGCCCGACTTAAGCAAGGCCTTGGCACCTTCTACAATTGGACCAACCATTGTCGAATTGAGAGAAGGCTCTAGCAGCGCCGAAGTGATTTGGAGAGAATCATTCTCAAGAATAAATTTTGATACCCCTTTCCGTCGTCCAAGCTAACCCCGCACGAACCGCCATAGCTTCAGCCTGCCGAGGGGAGAAAACATTGGCCGACTTTCTGACGAACGCAGCCACAAAGACACCGTATGAGTCTCTGACCACTATTCTTGCACCCCAAACTTTAAGGATTCATTCCAGGCTCCATCAAGTTTACTCTGAGACGACCGCTCGGAGGACGGGACCATTTGGGAAGTAGATTAGATATGTTTTAATTTTTGTGAAGCTAGCTGGTGGATTGTTATAGTTTTGACGGCCATCAATCCATTTGAGTTATGTCTTCATAAGACAATACTAATTAAGCTAATTCTGAACCCTAAACCCTAGAATCAAAGACTTTTCATCACCACTTAATCTTAATTAATCAACATTGCTCTAGCTGCTCCATATCGTATCAGAACTATTAATCAAGAATACTAAGGGCTTTCCCACATACACCAGCTGCTCCATATCGTATCAGAATTACACAGCTTTTCCAGTCGCATTCTCTTTTTCTGCAAATTTCATTCCAGTACAGCCCAAAGATGCTCATACTGTCCACACGCACACACACATATAGCAAAACTGTTAGCACAGAGTCCTCTTTGACTCCAACTTAGTTGTAGACTGCATGATTATCTTAAATTTTTGTAATCACGATAGGACTTGTATATTAGATGTTATACAGTCCCTGTAGGACTCTCTGTAACTCTAGCAGATCTTGTATATTTATACTTGATTATGAACAATGGAATAGTGTGACTTCCATCAATATTATTGTTCTATACTTACTGTGTTCTTCCTCTGATTATATATTTCTACAAAAATATATTCAGTTAAGAAATAATTAGATTCATGAGGTGTGACTTGCTACACTATAACTGGGAGAGAGTTTTAACTCGGAACTCAAACACAATAAATATCTATGGTGCCTAATTCTTCTACCTTTTAATAGATGTTTTGATGTAGGACTGAAATTAGTTCCTTCACATGCAATAAAATCAAAAGAACGGAGCGATGAACAATCAGGAAATGTGATTGGAGAATTTGTAATTCAGATATCCCTTGTTTTGCAAGTAAGGAATCAATGGTCTATCATTTTTCATTTTTTTTTCCAATAAACATTGTGATTTTCCTTGTTGTCTACCTGACTATATCTTCTATATATATTTCCATAGATTCAAATAATTTCTGTCATTAAACTGTACGTAGTAAAAATGGTAACTAAGAAGAAATTATATACATAGAATGCTATAATATATATATATATATGGGATATATATATATATATATATAGAGGCCATAGGACTTGAAAATAAAATCTTCAGATCAACAAACGACATTAGGACTAGTAATTTTGATAAGCTTCAGGCTCATAATTAATTAAGAAGGCCAAATTCGGATCACCAAACGCCATTAGGACTCGTACTTTTGATAAGCTTCAGGCTCATAATCAATTAAGAAGGCTAAATTCAGATCAACAAACGACATTAGGACTTGTACTTCAATGAAGCAGATCATATAATTATAGGTTCAAAATGCACCATCTTGATCGTTCACAAACTTTTTTAGTCTCTCTGATATCCTTGCAGCTACTGAGCCTGCTGCTGCAGACTCTCTAACCTACAGTATATGCGCAGACTATAAAAATGTGTATAATTACAGTACAGTCTAAAAAATTACGATTAATTGTGTGGTTGTTTGCTTAGTTACCTTGGAATGTATTGTGTGAAAAATAGTATCTTTGACAACTGAGAAACTGGCATTAACAATGTCGGCTCCCTCTTCTTGAATCACTCGAATCGACTCATTGAACATGAACTGGTGATCCAGCCCAGTTATCATCAGAACCCCTAGAGCTGAACCCATTTCATGAATCTCAACCAATGGTGATGAATTTAATCCCTCGGTTATTGCTCCACCACTGCGGCCAAACCCTGCATTACAATGACTGCTCTTCTCGATTCCCATTAGCCTGTCTTTCTTCTCCCTCAGCTTCTCCAAGTTTGTCTGTAATTTTTTAATGTAGTTTACAGCATCATCTAGTTGATCCGGCAGCGATGCTTCCTGCAACAATAATCCCATGAACAAAAACTCATTTCTTTTAGCATGCCTGTATTAGCAGACAAATGTTGTGTCGTTAGATTGTGTCTGAATTATCTAATCTTAACAATTACATAAACAGACACGCAGTCTGACAAGAAAACATGATCTTAACAATTACAGTCTAATCTTAACAATTACACACCCACAAAGAAGATTCAGAGAGTGAGAGAGAGACCCTTGATCGTTGGTGGGGAACAAGAGAATTGAGCTTGGAGAATAGAGCTTTCATTTGATTTCTTCTGTTTTTTTCTATGGTTTTCCTATCAGTTCTAGATGAACTAGGGCACTTCTCCATCAATATATTCCAAACTAGAAAGATGTCAAACAATATCCACCTGCAAATTGAAATACTTGATGATGATATATACAAATAAAAACAAATATTGGTCTTCAATTTGTGGTATATTGCGCGCCCTTATAATTAAGACGCTCAGCAAGAGGAGAGAAAGAAAGCCAAAGGTGAAAGCAGTACTATCACAAGATGCTACTGGAAAAAGTTTACAGATTTCAGAAGGCAGTAGGACCCTTCCCTCTCGTTTTGTTAGAAGAAAATCTGTCTTATAACCAATTGTTTATAGTTTTAAATCTATTTCTCTCATTATATGACAGACAAATAATTGTATATATAAATGACCACATTTAGTATCTATCATTTAACAAGGTCCCACGAACCCACCATTGCCCTTGACCGGTCATTTGACAAAGGAAAACGCATTTACTACTGTGCAATTTTCGGCTTTCACAGTTCTTGTGCATATTGCTTCAAGTTATTGGCAGATTTTACGTGAAACCTAGACCATTTATTTTAAGTTCAAATTGTGCCGATAGTAGTGTGAAAATGATGGGCTGGCATGTCACATTTTGCACCCCTTTAACCTAAAGAAAGCGAAATTCCAACGAGTCAATTTCTGCCATACAAACCTTGAACACATGCAAGGGACCCATCTTAGATCATGTAACGTAATGTAATACAAAAATATATAATGCCTCATTCATTTTCTATTCAAAACCTAGTAATTTTAACACTCATTCTTTAACTTCCACCTCTCGTGAGTACAACGAACAAAACAAGGGTAAAACATTCAATTTGGAGAATATATGATCAAACAAAGAAACCCGAAATCACTAATCTTAATAAACAACAAACAGCGAAAATAAATTAAACAAAACAAGATGAACTATATGAGCCAGAAACTTCCATTACAATGTTAATTTTCTTTCAAGGTTTTTATTAATCTTATGAAGTAGCTAGTTAACTAAACTGAGCTTAATTGTTCCTTTTCGTTTTCTCATATTTGAGTTTGCATTCTAAAATTCATAGATAATCCGTACTCCTGATCAACCTTATCCAACTCATATTTGGGTTGGCTATATTTCACTCACTTCTACACGTGCTCAAAGAGGGTCGATCAGGCCCCCAAAGGGATGTTATTTCCCTTTTCAAGTAGGCATATAAATGTTATACATGTGATAAGGAAACCAATAATTAAAGCTGATATACTGCTGCAACTTTAATCTGCATTCACATATTAAAAAATGGCGTTTCCCCCCCCCTTTTTTTTTTTTTTTTGTTCTTCTTTTCCGACAGAAAACTTCAGGAGCACTATATGATTATCCGGAAACAGTATAACAAAGAAATATAATTCAAAGTGGCTTTAGGTGTAACTACCACATCCACATATAAGTGGTTGCTGTTTCTTGAGATTTATGAAACTAAAGTTACCAATATCTGTTTACTTTATATTAAATCTGAAAGGAACAAATGAGATGCATAGTCTCTCTAATTCCCATACAACCTGGGTATCGTTGCTTTCTTCATGCACAAAAGGTGGAGACACATAGTCTCTCTTGATCATCTTGTTGTTCGATTTGATCCCTTGAGTGTTCAAATCTTTCTTGCTACGTCGTTTCATTTCTCACCACATATTCGTAACTAGCTATCATATTCTTAACTAAATTATCATAGGGATGATCTTTTTGAAATGCGAATGCCTAGAAGTATCTAGGCTTCACAGTTGGTTTTCCTGTAGTAATCATTACAAAACCGAAATGATAGATAAATAACATAAGATTTCTTCACAAATTACTGGATATGTACGTAATACAACTAAACACACTTTGTGATGCGAACAAGTTTCTTTTTTACACCTTCACTGGTTAGATTTATGGTCCTAAAACTAGGAAAAGTATACTCGCATGATTCTTTTTCTAGTCATCTCGTGATCTCATCCGTTCATTGTATATTGTACGGTTAGTTTTCGTTAGATACCATTCATATTTAATTTTAAATTTTAAATTTTAAAATAATTTCTGACCTTACGATGTACAATGAACGAGTGAGATCACGGAATCTTTAAGATCCCTAGAAAAATGATCCGGCGAGAATCTTTTTTCCCTAAAACTATGTGTCATCATCTCATCACTCAGCATTTTTTTTTTTTGCCCTGAACCCTAACCTAACCCTAGTTTTAGAACCAAAATTCCTACCTTTATAATAGATAATTTGATTGATACCATGCATAGTAACCAGATTGTTCCACTATAACAAAACCTGTCAATTTCATTGCCAGTGCTCGTAGACATATTCATTAAAATTAAGCATTATCTTATCTTTCCAGTTTCCCCACATCCAAATCAAAATGTTGGCCTGGGCGGCAGAAGATTAAACAAAGAGCAAAGAAAAAGCGTTGAATAGTAATTTACCAAACCCTAATTTAAAAAATATATATTCACTTCCAATAAAAAAAAAACTCCATTTCTATCTTTTCGACAAAAAAATAAAAAATAAAAAAACTCCAATAATTAGTTGGCATGGTATTTGCCTTGATATTCCGGGTGATTCTGTGATTTGATTTAGTAGGATTGAGATCCTTCGGATCTTTATTTGGAGTTTACGGATCGAAAGATTCGAACTACTCAATTTCATTCCAACGTTCTCCATTAGCTCATCTTATTAGCACACTTCACAAAAATTCACAAACTCGAACGGCTCTAGTCTCTTTTTCTTGAACTCAGATCTCTTGGTCTGCAAACTCGAGGGAGTTCTCAAGTGGATCTCATTCTGTTTTGGTAAGTTTGGAGTCGTGCAAAAGGACCAAAAAGGGTCCCCATCCTTGTGGCATCTGCCATGAACTAAAGTTGATTGAATTGGCCGGTCTGCCACTAAAAATAATGACCAAGACTCGTACATAAGCACTTCCACAAAAATATGAAATATAATTAAAACTTTCATATCGGATGTCTATTTTTGTATCACAATTAAGTACTATTCTTTTGGTTGGTAGTGACTTTCCAACTTGCCACAAGACTCAAGTCATACATCATATGGTTAAATTCCCTACTGCAATTCTCCAACCAAGACAATTCATTGGATCAAATATTTGACCATAACTTGCAGGAGCCAATTAGCTGGGTGTTAATGGTCTAGATTCCTCTTTCTTTCCTTTGGGTCCTTTCCTTTGGTACATGTTATGTGTTGGGATTAGGGTTGGAGAAAATTTAGGGTAGCGTTATCCACACATCCATTTTTATTTTATCCACACACCTATTTTTATTTCTCAGACATCGTTTGTTTGTTTTTTTTTTTTTTTTGTTTTTTTTTGCTGTAGATCGAATAAATTGAAGAAGATTAATGATAAAAAATTAACAAGAGTGTGTGAAAAGTGTTAACCATAGTACCGAAACCTTTAACACGTACAAAAGAAAGGAGGCTTGAGAGAGAGGAAGGAGAGACTTAGAGAGGAAGTAATCACTATTTCATTTAACTTTCTTAATGAATCATTACACACAATCTTTACACTAATATAAATGAATGTAAAAATGAATGTGTATCGAAAATCTGTTGTCACTAACGGTCTATTATTTTTTGTTTGCAATACATATTACGTGACTTAAATTAAGTTAATCAAGCGGAAATAATATTTGAACTTTAAACCTCCTTTAAAAAAAGGCTCTTTAGATATGGGTCCAAAGTAATTAAAAATTAGACATATTTCAAAAGTCAAAAGTCACTAAAAATTAGACTTACTTCAAAAATAAGACTATAAAATTGGACATATTTCAAATTTTCTCTTAAAAAGAACATAATACTTAAACCAATTTTGTAGTTTACTTTTGTCTTCTTATTGAACTTGAATTCATCAAACTAGTCTACCATCTAAAAGGATAAAGAACCAGGCTTTCCTTTGCCCTAGTGGGCGGGTAGCATCCATCTGCCTCTTTTTTTTTTTTTTTGGTTATCCATCTGCCATTTGCTAAAGGGAATTTGCTTGCTTTCTCATTGGTTATTCTGGTCAAAAAGGAAATAATTAAGCTTTTAAATCACGTCAGTTGGTATTTTTATGGCAAATTACGTCACTTAAATTACGTCACTTAATTTATAGACCACAAGTTTCACACGTATGTTTAGGTAGTTGAGAAACAATAAAAAGACTATTTTTAATGTGAAACTCTTCATGAATTTTCTATCACACTATCTGTTCTCTCATATTTTTTTTACAATGTTTTATTATTGGCATGAAATTTATGTTAAATTGTGAGGTAGTGCTCATATAAAGAGACTTTGAAAGAGCATTGTACCTCCAAACATGCAGGACACAGCACCAGGCCTTGTTAAATGCCACAATTGAAAAAATTAATTCAAGTCAAGTTTAGGAGAAAAACACATAAAATGATTTACGGTCTTGTAATTTTCGGGTCTAATAATATATTACCAGGTATAATATTTTAAATAAAAATATGTAATTAGTTAGAACATCACAATAAGAGACAAACATGTTCCATGTAAATTACTCTAAAATTTAAGACTTCGAGTGGTTAGATTTTTTTTGACAAAAAAAAAAAGTGGTTGGATTTTTATTCAATTGACAAGTCCACTGCATGTGAAAAACTACAAATCACTGCAAGAGATTGGGATATTTTTGCTGGTTTGTGTTAATGTTGCTTGTTGCAATTGGCTTTCATGTTTTTTGCAGAAAAGAAAACGTCGAAGGCATGAGAAATTTAAAGTATCACGGATTTAAGTTGAAAGTTATAGGTGGCAAAAATTATAAATAAGAAGGGCCATTCCATGCAATGCATCTAAATAAATTCTGCAATCGAATTTGGTAGCGAAATGTGATTGCTATAAGCGTTTTTACTTTAAGCACTTTAATTAGAAGCATAACAAATTTTATTGATTAAAAGTGCTTTTAAGAGAAGCACAAGAGAAACAATCTAACAATATATCACGTAGTATTATAAAAGGTCTAAGAAAATACTCATGCTCATAGTGTTTTGCTTAGATTCACTTTTGTTACAAGGGAAGTCATTTCTGCACATTCCAATGCTTCTTCCAAAAAATACTTATTGCCTTTGGAACCTAAAATCAATTTTATCAAAAGCGCTTTCAGTCATTTCTAAATCACTTTCAAACGAGTCCTTAAAATTTTTCAGCCAAACATTGGTAGAAACACATATGGTCAACCTAAAGCACTACGAACATGCCCCAACACTTTTGCTACACAAGGACAACGTGGTTCTCTCTTTAATTGTCCAAGTTGAGTCCTTGACAATAAAACACACAAGAACATTGTGAGAATTAATGTGAACATGTCCTCTACCTACCTATTTAAAGATCAAGGGGTTCTTTTGCACCTGCCTTTCCATACAAGTAACGAAACATAATGCAAAGATAGTAGGCCACGCATCCATGTCTGGTTCAGAAAGACATCTATGTTCTGCATCAAGAGTTCCCAAAGCGTTATTGCAGCAGGGAAGGAGACGATTAGACAAAGGGGTCGATGACTAGGTGGTTTAAACAACAAACCGGGAGTTGGGGGTGGGGGGTTGTAAGGTAATTGCCTAATTGAAGGAGTCACTCTTTCAACATTGATGGAGAATTATTTGAAGAAAACTTTAACGAAAAGCTTCCGGTACTATTCATTTTAACGAAAAACCACATTTTTACACTAAAAAATCAATCTTGGTACTATTCACTTGACCCTTTATTTTGTCTTTACCATTAAAAATCAAAGTTTTCAAATCATTTTCATTAATTTTCATTTTTAAATGCTTGAGAAGATGATGGGGAAAAAAAAAAACGCCAATCATTCTGGTTGTGAAAACGACCTGTGAAAAGGAAAATCCAATTCTTGATTGGGTGGTGTATCCATACTTCTCAAACACTCCTCTGAATTTCCGGTTGTCAGATAGAAAGAACCTAAGATGCTCAATGGACAAAAATTAACAAGAGTGTAAAAGGTAAAAAGAGGTGTCTGAGTAGCACTACCCTTCTTGATTTCATGAAATATGAATCCCTCAAATTTGAATCCTAAATGACATGAAGAATTCAGTAAGGCAACATGATCAAATGACTGGTAAAACCACCCTCACAAAAGCATTATACCCCCTATATTTTGGTCCATGAAATTTTTTTATAGGACAATATGATCACGTGATTGGTAAACATGATCACGTGACTAATAAAATCACTAACAAAAGTATATACCTCCTGTATTTTGGCACGACCCAAAACTACGCATGCTCGGTGTGAGAACTACCCTAATTAGAAACTCTACCCAAGTTCTCTTTCAATCAAATCAAACTTTGCAAAGAAAAAGGGGTTATAACTGTCACCATATAGCATTTTCCACCCCTCAAATTCTATAATTTATAGACAGTGAGTGAGAGATTAAAAAATGCAAAATTGATAAGCATTTGTGGTGTACGTGTATAATATAAAAAATATATATTTGCCTATCAATCTATTAATTCAATTCCACTTGTTCAACGTGAATGTGACATCACAGAAGATTACAAATCAAAAGGCTTAAGAGAAAACGAACCTTTTTTTTAATTACAATTTTGACCTGGTGACGCTACAAAAGCCAGGAGGTCTCACAAGAAGGATGGATGATTCAAGAGAACTTGGGTTTAGGCGTTGGTGTGCTATGAGGATGCACAGGACCAAGCTTCTGAATCCGGTGAAGGAGCTTCCCCTTCTTGTGATCTTGGCAGATTGGACTTGTTACATGATTCAAGGTTCCGTCACGGGCGAGGGAAGACTCGAATTGCTCCAATGCCTTTACGACCTGCGGAAACTCGGGCCTTTTCTCCGGATGCAAGGACCAGCATTGCTCGATCAACGCCCGCATTGCAGATGGGCAACCCTTGGGGATAACAGGCCTCAAATTCTGAAAAAGCAACCCACAATTTGTTAGAATGTGGTTAACATGCAACTTTAACTAAGAGCTGTTCTTTTTTATAAGTAACTTTCATGTAGAGATCTGCACAAAGAGCTTCGCGAGAAAGAGTCAATGGCGGAAATATTAGTTCAGCGCACCAATTTTCAAACAAAACACCCGAATCTTTTGCAAACTCGTTTCATTGTGATCGTCATTGGCGAGTAAACAAAAGTTATGAACGTACCTTGTTCACAACAGCAAAAGCAGCCTGAATGGGATTCATATCCTCGTAGGGGATTGCTCCGGCTACCATTTCCCACAGGACGAGTCCAAAGCCGTACACGTCAACCTTCCGTCCATAGGATTTACGCTTGATCATCTCTGGGGCCATCCAACGGTATGTCCCAGGGTCGTCGGCCAACGAATCACAGTACGCCTCCTCACAGGCTATGCCAAAATCAGCAATTTTCAGGTGGAATTCTTCATCAATAAGAACATTTTCGGGCTTAAGGTCCCGATGAGTGACTCCTTGCGAGTGGATGTATTCCATTCCCCGAGCAATGTCCAAGGCAATAGCAACCAGTTTCTCCAGAGGAAGAGATTTTTCCTCAAGCTTGTGCAGATATGCCCTCAAGGAACCCTCTGATAGATATTCCGTGACTACACAATAAACCGGTGGCTTTCTGCACGCTGCAATGAACTGTTTCAAGGAAACAAAATATCAGTATCAAAGGATACACCGTTCTGCAACCTCGAGCTCACGATTTGCAATTACGAAAGTTCTAAACATGGTTAAATCATATCTGATGTTTAAAATCTTCAAGCTAGGATACATAATTCGTTCACCAGCATAAGAAAATGTAACAATCCAAATGCATACAAGGTGGAAAAGCGGAAGAGATTACATACCTTTATGACGTTCGAATGGTGGAGACGAGATAGAAGAGTGACTTCTCTGTTAAACTGTTTCTCCAATCGAGCTGCCAACACCCCGCCTTCGTCATCCTCCGGCACCCTGATAATCTTAACAGCAACAGCTTTGTCATTGTAGATACCATGGTAAAGCCTGCTATGCGCCCCATGAGCAAATTTAAGCCCAAGAAACAGCTTCGACAAATCAACGCAAAATTCATCGGCAGCGTCCACGGCATTGACTCTCCCGCCGGCATGATCAAAGTACTTGGCCCAAGGCGACTCCTTCCGGCTCTTCGTCTTGTCATTGACTTTCATAGAAGCCAAGTGCCTGAGGGGGCTCGTATTCATCGAATTCGATGACTTACTGTGCGAATCCTTACCGAACAACCTTCCCAACCCCTTTCTCTTAGGATGTGGTGTCGAAAACCTCTTCGTATCAGACTTGGCTTCCTTAAACGCATCGGAGATGTGGATCTGACGCACAGGGGACAAAGATCTCTGCTTGTTGGTAAGAAGATTTCGCCTAACCGGCGTATGAACAGAATTCCTCTGAATCTTTGAATTACTGGAACTCGATTTCTGCTTCGAAGGAGCTGCTTCCGCTTCTGCCACCGCTGCCGGTGCAGGCCTTGACTTTAATCCGGCTATCCGGACGTCCTGCAGGGCTAACGGAAGGGCGGCCAATCTTGAAGAATCAAACCGATGAGAAAATTTCGTTCTCCGAATCCAAGAATACGCCTCTTCCTCCATCCTCCCCAGTAATTATACCAAATCCCAACCCAGCTTTACACCCACAAAACCACCCTATTCACCTCCTCCTCGTCCTGGAGCCGAGAAGAAGGCCTAAATCCAAATGGGAAATCCTCAAACAATCTGAATTCAGCTACAAACAAGCTCGAAAATCCGAAGTTCTTCAAGCCCATCAACAAAGACCTCTAACTTTATCAAACTAGTTGAAGAAAAAGAATCTAACTTTTTGCATCACTGAAACTAAGGAAGTATTGAAGCCCTTACGGAAGAATGAGGCCGCATCAAATCCTCAAACCCACCAAATCTCATCAATCTGCAGACCCTTCCAATCAAATAATTTGGACACCCTCCTCAGCACCACCAAACCCTCTTAGGCTCTCTAAATAAATATAAAAATTAATAAACCAAATAAATTCAAACTTGTTTTTGTTTCAAAGTCAAACACCACCTTCCGTAAAAGCCTGAAAATTCATACGAAAACAACCCAATAAACCAGTCAATAAAAAATAAAATTAAAGCCCCGAAAAACAAAAGTGTATTCAATTATATTGAAATCGAAGAAACACCCATGATTACAACCCATCAAGCTCGGTAGAAAAAGCTAAAAAAACAATCATTGTGTCAAAACAATCATAACTCCACTAAAATAATGCAGAATAAAAAAAATCCCCAGATGCAAAAACCTAAAAAATAATTAATAAATCACACGTAATATATAACCAGAAAAAGTCAAAAAAATCATATTTTAAAAAAAAGATAGCCATGTAAAATGCCCGAGCTGAGCTGATGAGGAGCTTACCATAAAGGGCATGGCTTCTACTTCATGGCGACAAACCACCATAAGCTTCAAGGGCATTTCACCATCTGAAATGGGCGACGAGGAGGTGAGGTCGAGGAGGCGAGACGGAGAGGGGAGAGAGAGAGAGAGAGAGAGAGAGAGAAAGAGGAAGAAGGAAGAGAGAGAGAGAGAGAGAGAGGAGGAACTGTTTGATTAAAATAATGAGAAATGTGGGATTCCATGTGTCGTTATCGGAAAGAATGACCAACTAGGCAAAAAATAATGAGAAATGTGGGACACGACTTGTCAAAAAGCCAAACCAAACCAAACGCCAGCCCAAGAGACCAACTAGGCAATTTGCGGTTCCTGGTACGGTTCGCACGGACGCGCTCTCTCTGTACGTGTGCGCTGAGACGTGTTACTTGAATTTACTAATTACCCCTTTGTTTTTGGTGTGTGTGATTCCTGTTGGGTTATGGAGGTTAGAGGCTAATCTTGGTATTATCGGGTATCACATTCGAACTTTCATCCTGAATGTGAGGGACAAATAGGCTGTATGTTTGTCGGGAGGTAGTAGGATAGGTAACGCCATAGAGAGCTATGCATGTATGTTAGTATAGGAGAATTCGGTTGGAGTTGGCCTTGTAAATTTTTTTTGGGTTTAGGTTTATTTGTACTTCAAGTAATAGATTAGTATATATTCGTATATTGTGTTATCAATACAATTACAATTCTAAAATGTATGACAGTGTATTGTTTATACATGATTCATGCACAATTTTAAAAGAATAATGATATCCATGCTCACGGTTCTAACAATTTCAACATATGCGTTAGGCAGCTGGTCACCGCCTAATTAATTCCTAGGCATTTGAAAATTAAAAAAAGCCAGCTAGACCTGCTTAGGCACCCGCCTAGATCTGCCTAGCACTTCCTATGTCGCAACTATCACTTAGACAGAAAATATATAACTCTCATTTTGCATTATGTTCTAATACTTTATAATCTATTTGATTCTATTTTGCATTTTAGGCCCTCGCCTAACCTCTTAGGCGCTAGACCTCAGCCCATCGTTGTCACGCCCCGACCCGCGAATAAAGACTATCCACGAGCTAGGGTGTGAGTCATATCTTAGCTATAGAAATAAATTCTATAACCAAGATATGGTGGAAAATAAAATTAAATTATAACAATTACACCATACATCAACAAAATTTTACATAAAAATTTAATGAATACGCAGCGGAAATAGAATAGTACATAAATTAATTCACAACAAAAACTACTAACAAAATAATAATTAAATTGTAACAATTCTTTCAAATGCATGAAATATATGCAAATGGAATGGATGAATGTACTCATTCCCTTCTAATCTCGTCAACGCATACCTAAGGCACCCAAGCGTGCACGTCCCATACCATACTTATACCACTTGGCTCTGAGTACGTTAGAATATGAGTTAACTCCCGTTCATCCCTTAAATCCAATTTTTGTAATTAAACTCTCAGTTTCCACTTTATTAAGTAAGCACTTCACCCAACGCTCAAATGTATATTCAAGCCATGCACCCTACGCTTGATATATACAAGATTTCATTATTTTTAACAATCAACCAATTGTATACTCAAGCCATGCACCCTATGCCTGACATATACACGATTCATTATTTTATATTCAAGGTAAACTTTAGCCCTTGAATATCCTCACAACTTAAACACTTTATACAAGTGAGCACTTGACACAACACAACTCTTTTTCTTTGCTTTGCAATGCATATGTATATGCCATGTTCACGTAGATATCAATACTCACACTTTATCTAACAAGCCTGCAACTTCAACATAAATCAAATTGATTAGTAACAAGGGTAATATCATCATAATATTAACAAAATAATAATCTATAATTCATCATATAAAATGTTACTCGTAGACCACTCCATATATATTTGTTCATCGTCTCGTCCATCTTGGTCGGGCAACCTGTTTTTATTAAAAAAGAATAGACATTCATGTTAGAGAAAATAATTATTAGAGTGAAATATATGTCTCCAAGGCCACGAGGCATGAAATTATGTCTCTAGCTTTTCCCTTTCCAAACATCATCTTTTATTTTTATTTTAGCCCACCATTTCTACTTCTTCTTTAATATAGCTGAAACTATCAGCTATGCGAACTGGGATATAAGTCAGCACATAGATTAGATTGTCGTGGTTTTTGGATATGTTATAGAGGAGATGATAAGAAACAACTTTTGTGAAGGAAATGTTTTGATTCGAGTTACAAAAAATGGGTTTTTGGTACTCATAACATAGCTGTCCAGTTTTCTGCGGGATTAGAGACATGAGTTGGTATTTCAGACATATTGGACGATCACACGGTTGGATGTTTCTGGAATTTTGATATATCATGGTAGAAAGACAAAAGAACAACTCTCATGAAGGAAGTATTATAATATAATATATGGATGATGATGTTTTGATCTGTTAAATAGGCTGGACGAATTTCTAGTTTTTAGATATCTTTCTTTTAATAGATGGAGTTTGGTGGAGAGATTTGTTGGATAAGGTCTCATGTATTTTCTGGGATTTGTCTCACACTTTTGTACATCATTCTCAAGGGAAAATAAATGGATAATTTTGATGTTTTGGTGGGAGTGTTCTTATGGCAATGATCTCAAATGTAAACGCATAAACACACAAGATTTAAGTGGTTCGCCAAATCAACTGTATCCACTGAGGTTTGCTTTCATTGTATTTCACTATATATATGAGGGACTTACAAATACAATGAAAGATGGCTTAAAGCCTTAACAATATGTAAAAGAAAGGTAATTGGGTAATATGAAAGGGAGGATGGCTTTTTATTGGAGTTGTTCTTTTTCTTTCTTTTTATCTTCTTCTTCCTTTGTCTTTTCTCATTCTCTCTTCTCCATATCATCCGTTGGTTCTTTGCTCCTTCCTTTATAGAGATTGCATGAAATATTCCTCTCCAAAGAATCTCCACAAGTGTGCCAATAGAAAGAAAACAAGTGTAGTGCCAATCATTAAACATATGTGTTCCAATAGAAACACACCAAATGTTAACCTAATCATCACCATGAAATGTGTTCCAATCACAAGGCAACAAATGTTGTCCTAATCCTTAGCAATGAAATGTGTTCCAATGGAAAAACAACAAGTGTTAGATTAATCATGAATTAATGAATATCATGCAAGGTGTTCCTTGCACCCAAAGGCCACGTCCAAACAATTTGGGGAATGAATCCTCACCAATTATCAACCATGATATGTGGTTCAATAGTAAAACAACAAATGTGAAGTTAATCAATATCATGCAAGGTGAACAAACACTCAAAAGTCACGTTCGAAGTCTAAGGGATATGCATCCCACCCATTCTCACCTCATTGGAAATTTTGGAATGATAGATTGAAGCATTGAAGAGAGAATATAGACAATTAATTGAAATTCCCCTAGGCTAGTGAGTAAACATTCTAAAACAACAACAACATACTGCCACATGCATGCCAATACATATGCATACCTAGTCTATGGCTCTATATAGACGCACACCTCTCCAATGTTTAGGGGTGAGTAATCTCTCTACATTAGCTCAACTTGCCAACTCACTCCTACTTGGTAAAAATATCAAACCAAACTCAACACTTAGCCACACGTATAAGCCAAAGGCTTCCCACCTCCACACCCTAATTATTAGCTTCTATTAATTACCAACTTCCACCTTAACCTATCTAGAGTGGTGACTAACCCCTCCTCTTTATTCTCTAATGGTTGGCAAAACTCTACTTAGCCTTCGTGAGAAAATAAAGTCAAACTCATGCACTTAGACACATGCACGTATGCTATATAGACTTCCACTCCACATTTAGAGTGGTGAGTAATCACCAAATCATTAACTCCTAATGTTACAAACTCTCCACCTCATCTTTGAGAGAAAATAACAAAACAAAACTACTCATTTAGTCCAACCTCAAACTCTTGGCCCTTTGTGAGGAAATTCAACCCAACCTCATTTAATCTCCCTTCTCCAATTCAAACTAACAATATCTCTAATTACATATGAACATGAAATAGCTAGTTTTTGAAATAATTTGTAGGAAAAATGATTTTACATTGAAACTATAATTTACATATCGAAAATAGGTTCTTGTACGTAAAAATAATTACCCATGTACACACATATATACATATAACCATTTTTTTTAATACGGAGTATTACAATCGTCTAACTAGCTCTTAGCATCTTTTGGAACTTTGCATATGCCTACTTTGAGTGTCGGATCTAACAAGGTTATGTCAAACGTAGAAATGGATGTGAATAGCTTTATTCTTTTTAAGGTCGTTGGAGTTGGAGAATAAATTGGAAAGGGAGACATAGTTTTTCTTGCTTTTACGAAAAGAAAGGAAAAGTGAAAATAAAGAAAAGGCCTTTGGCAAAAGTAAAAAACAAAGAACAAGAAAAATATATGAGCTAAAGAAAAGGGCCCAACGGCCGACATAATCAAACCCAAACCGTTCAGCGGGATTTGATCCAACTCTTAGGACCGGCCCAATTAGTTCCAACCCAATGGATATTCCAAGCGTGAGCTGGACGGGGTCGATGGGCGTGTTAAAACATTATGGCGCGTGTTTTAACTGACTAATCAGAGATTAATATAATTACTGGCACGTGCCTTATATAGTAAATAAAAAATTAGATAAAAGGATAGGAAAAATAGAAGGAACACAAAAAAAAAAAAGAAAAAAAAGAGGAGAGAACCCAATCTCTTATATAAAGCACTATTTGAGCGTGTAATTCTAAAACAGAGTTGTTTCCTGTCCTTTTTAATTCCGAATTATTGATCTTTTAAGTGTGTGTTTTACTTTTCCTTTAGTGTGTTTTTGTGATTTGAATTTGTGGGCATTAGGGCAAGCACACGATTTTATTCAATTTGTGTAATCCAGGTTTGCACCTCCTTAATGTATTTCAAATATGTGTGAAGTTCTTAGATCATCTCCGATGGAGAGAGTTCAATGGCTATTTACACTCTAAAATTTATGATTTATACTTAAAAGTAGCTCTCTTTTTTTTTCATCCATCCTCCAATATAAATTTAGGCTCCTAATTGGTCGAATAATGGTTTTTCCCATTGAACTTTTGTTTAACAATATTTTTTG